AAAAAAAAAAGAAAAACTCCAATGGTAAAACATTTACGTCTTCTTACCACTGGAGCCTTCACCTTATTATTATGAACCAAATGCACCGTTAACGTCACCAACTGAGGTAAGTCTTTGCTTAAAGAAGAAGAGGAAGGGTATAAATGGGAATGGTGAGAGAAAGACGATATCAAGAGAACCCAAAAGAGGTAGCTCACTTCTTCACTTCCCCCTCATTTCAAAAGCGTGGGAGAAAACTATTAACAGCTTGACCACAAGGTGGAGCCGCTGTTCTCTTAAAAACTCCACCTTCCACAACGTGACCTCTCAGACAAACCTCAGCGTTCAGCTCAGACGCCCATAGAAGCTTGTTGCCATCACTTAAAAAAAACACACAAACAAACAAAAAACTTTTTGCTACCTGTAACTTAAAAATCTGAGTTATAATCTCAAAATTTCAAGTTATTTTCTCGTAAGTTTGAGTTAGTGAGACCAGAGATTATAGCCCAAAATGTTGATTTATAGATGGCAAGAACTTGTTTTCTTCTGTAGGCACCTTCATCATCATCGCTGAACACTGTTTATCTCCATTTATCTGTGAGGATTTTTAGCAAAAAAACAAAACAAAAACCAAGACATACTAAAGTGTCCCTTTGGGAAAACACACAGAGGTCCCACTTGAACATTTATCACATACCACCTGATTTTTGTGGGTTATTTTTAATAACAGGTGCAGGAAAGACAGGGGTGAAGTTTGTGACCTTTGGTAAAAGTATAGAGTAAAAAAAACAAAACAAAAAAACAACAGGTGTGGTGCTTTGAGTACAAGACATAATTTCCTGTTCATTCACTGTTGTATTTCCCAGAGGCTTTTACAACCTGGCAGGACAAAGAAAAAAGAAAACATCTTGAGGATGTTTTGAACACATCTGAAACAAACCTAAGATACTTCATAGACCCACACAGCAGCAACACCTTCATGAACAGTTTTCTCAGTATGAAAATGGGAGAGCGTTGAGTAAGAGACTGCGGTTAAATAAATACAAAGCAGCATTGGCAACCGACTGTTAACTCGAAATATGAAGTAGAAAAAGTCAAAAAAAGAAGCAAAAACTATACATAGTAGGTTTCTCCTCTTTTCCTAGCTGTCCTCGAATGCACCGTATGTTTCCTCCTTAGCGGACCAAAATCTTAGAGGGAGACGACTCCCCTCATACAATCATCTCACAGGAGAACAGGGGCCCCGAGTCCAGCAGGTAAACCTGCTGCCCTGTTGGTCTTTTTCCGTGGCATGAACGAGAGAGTGTGTGTGGAGAGACGGAGAGAAAGAGATAGAGAGATGTTTCAGTTCGTCTCACTCGTTTTGTCTTCAGTCTGTTTGTCCTGGAGGAGAGTTATGAGCGACTCCCACGCTGCCTGGCACTGCGCAGGGCGGAGAAGGACGAAGAGTCGGCCGACGTGGGGAAAGAATGAGGTAAAAGGGAAAGATTGGAATTATTTAGAGGAATTCTGAGGCTGCTCTGAGAGATTTATGCTTGTAAAAGTCATGTTTTCACAGTGTGAGCTCAGAAATCTGTACAGTGATTCCACACATCTGCCACAGAGGCTGCTGAGGATCTACCAGATAATAAAGGAGTCAGATGGCTCTTCCACTCACACATGAGTACAAAACATTCAGTCTCTACGGGCTAATGAGCGAATGCATTTGAACAGTTTCAGAGAAATTTCAGGGAGGATAAGGGTAACAAACTAAATACAGAAGTCTGACATTTTTATGCATTAAAAAATAAACATACACAAGCTCATGAGATCATGAGAAGAACAAATAAACAACCTTTGTAATTAAAGTACATGAAAGAAACAAGATGAGAATTTGTAGTCCATCTTCTTGAGATCATTATATTGTTAGCAAGTCTTTCACACCTTTCCTAGGCCTCATGACATCCTACTGTTGTAGTCAAGAAAACGGGGTAGGAGGTAATTATGTGGACTATCTGACTGCATGCCCGCTCACCCTAAGCATGTGCGTTTTCCACGTAGAGAAAACCAAAAACAAGGTGAGAGTTGTGCGCTATCAGTGCAACGACGGCGACCAAGAGTTAAAGTTCATTTATAGTAATACTGAGTTGTGCTTGCATCATTAAATAATATTTCTCTAGTCTACATAAACTTTTTTTTAAACTCAAATAATAAGAAACTGAAAAAACGAACCTGTTTTTATATCTTAAATTAAGTGCAAACTCCGTATGCATGAATAGATGGGATCACTTTGGAGAGAGGTTAGTGTTTGTCTTCTTGTCATCTGTTGACCCTTTCTTCCCCCCAGACTGCTGCACATCATTTAGCGTCTCCCTAACTGGTCCACTCTGTTTTCAGTCTTTATGCCACTATAAAACTGGAAACACTGGTATCAGTGGGAGTGTCTCCGGTGACCTTTAAGAACAGCTCGTGTGCTGCCTGAGGCTAAAAGCTGAAGTGTTTTTACAGAAATTACACAGGCGTACCTTTTCATAATGGGTGACGTTTTTGTCGGCCATGCCGGTGAGAAGCTGCTTGAAGTCTTGTCTCTTGTTGCTCTGCCAGCGCTCCCAGTCTGCCTTCAGGTCAGCGTTGAAACACTCCATTTTGTCCTGGCATTTCTCTACCTCCGCTGGTATCTGGTATAACACAGACAACATCAGCTACAGGAGCCATAGGGGACATAATACAGGACTAATTTACAGGACAAGAATCACAGGGGGGTGAGTGGTGCAGGAGCGTTGGTGGGGATGGGGTGTGTATTGAATCCTGTGATGTTTGTATGGGCAAAAGATAAAAATGAACAACTTTATTTAACATCCGACAAATGTAACCTGGTCACCTGAAGAATGATCTCTTAACTTGTAATTTACTAAGTTTTCAATTCTAAGAATGCCAGTGAAAAGTAAAGACGCTCCCAGAAGTGACAAATGCAGAAACGGCAGATTCAGATGAAAGAAGGGGAAGGCTCACGGGCGTTCTGTCCTCTTGTTTGCGCAATACGGCTGCTTCTAGACGGCCTTCATACTCCGCTTGGCTCTGGTCTCGCTTCCTTAAAACATTCTGTAAACAGACAGAGAAGGTCATACGTTTTATTTTGCACCCTTAATGTGACACTGTCCGAAGTATTTTATAAGAAAGACAACATGTGCAAACTGTTAAACTGAGACAGCGATGCTGAATCAGGAGCTTGGCGAGGACAGGACATGACACATGCAGAATCTCACACCATACTTCCTCTATTCAGGTTCAAAGGTGATGAAAGCAGTTGGTGCTCGACTGTGTGCAGGCAGAAGGACTCGCACTTTATGCTGTACTGGGTAAATTTCTGCCCCCGTGTATTTTCCTTATGTTCTCCGCTATAAATAAATGAAACTAATCCATGGTTAAACATTACACATTTTTAAGCTTGTGCCTGCGAACCGAGCAGATCTGCCTTTTCCACTCTTTTCCATCCAAAACCTATAAATGTGTTTACAGTGGAAAACTTCAGTAGAACTTTCCTCTGCTAATTTTAGCTCAGTAAACCAGACATCTTTTTTTTCTTTTTAATTTGGAAAGAAACAGGCAAAAATATTTTAATTTCACATAACAGTTTGCTTCTTTTTGTCACTTTTTTCCTTTATATTTTTGCACATTAAGGTTTGAGACAATGACACGGTTTTTGTAGTTTTGCCTCTCTCTGCCTGCACAGTCGAGATGTGGTTGAAGTGCAGATGTTCTGCTTTAATTCTAGTTTAACAAAATAACTGTTGAGGAATATTTCTATGTTTATACACAGACCCCACATCTCCACAGGCTCAAAACTAACTGGACAAGCTAACATCATTTTATGAGGATTGTTATGAAACCCTTTTGCAGTCAATGAAGTGTAGAACCCATGGACATCACAAAAAGCTGTGTTTTCCTTCCAGGCCTTTATTTTATCCTTCAGTGGGTTTTTTGCCTTCAGTAACTGAAAAGCACGCTCTGGGGTGACATCAGGTTGACTTTTAAAAACATTCCCTTTCTTTGCCTGGTTGTTTTGCTTTGCGTCATTATCCATTTGTACTGTTAAACACTGTCTGATCAGTTTTGCCCCATTTTGCTGAGTGTACGGCCCTGTATGACTCCCAATTCACCCTGCTCGTCTATCAGCAGTCAGATCATCAATACACATTAGTGCCCTGGTTTCACAGGCAGCCATAGCAGATGATGTTGTATGCTCCAGGTCAGGAGCTGTTTTTGTTTCACTTCCCATCATTCCATCATTCTGGTAAACGGTTCATCTATGCAAAGATGTTTTTTGGCCAATACTAATCTGGTCCTCGTGCTCCAGAGTGTAACCAGTGGTTTGCGTCTTGTTGTAAACCCTCTTTATTTACACTCATGAAGGCATCTCTTGATTTTAGACCTTGACAATGATGTACGCACCATCTCAAGAGTGTTCTTGGCTTACGTTAGAGGTTCTCTTGGCCATGGAAATAATTCTGTCATCATTGACATTAGTTGTTTTCTGTGCTCTTTCGGGTCTTTTGGTTTTGATGAGCTTGCCAGGGCTTTCATTCTTTTCAAGCAAGTTAAGCAACTCTCTCGCTTTGTCTTTTCAGCCTAACAATCGCTTTTTTCACTTGCATATCTCTTTGGACTTCATATTGATCTTTTATCTGTCATGAAATAACAAGAGAACAGGCCTCATCTGGCCATGAATGTTATCATCAGCCAATTAATTACTATGAGTTAGTATAAAATGTCCAAAAAATTCCAAACAGTTAATGCTAAATTTTTGTTTAACTTACACCCGGGGACTAATTAGCAGAAATTAGAACACTTTATTTTGTTCCCTTTTCTTAACACATCAAGCAGACGTTACATGTTTTTAGTGCCACCAACTCCCTACCTTCATTGATTCGATGTAGAGAATGTATTCTCTGAGCACGGGTAGAAACTCCTGGCCCATGTTCTCGCTCATGTCCTCCAGCGCTCCGCAGCACGTCGTCACACAGCCAGCCACGCCCTCCAGAGGGCGCTGCAGCTCCTCCTCTGACCCCGCCCAACTGGCATAGACTGTACCATACTCGCGTAGCTCAGTTAGATACTCTAGTCGAGAGATGCGGTGAAAGAGTTGGTTAGGTCAGATCTGACTTCTTAAAGTCAGAGTTACTGCAGAGTACTAGTGCTGGGAAATAAATCACAGCAAAGCCACAAGCATAGTTTTTTTTTTTTTACACTATTGTTTTTAACTTATTTTCTGTACAGCACTTTGGTCCTGTGCTGGTTATTTTAAAATGCTTTATAAATAAAATTGGATTGGATTACATTCCATCACCTCACAGGTCTTTATTATTTACAGTCATCAGTTTCCATCTTATCTCCTCTAACAAGGCCGCCACGGACAGCCACTGGTCTACAACTTGAACAGATGGTGCCGAGCAGCACTTCACGTGGCTGGTGGCAGTTATTTCCACAGTCACTTTTCATGCATGAGTTAGGCCTGCAGTTATCAACCACAAGGCCCAAAGGTCTGTGGATTCCTCTTCAAACAAACACACTCCACAGTCAATACTGCATATCAACTCATCCTAAAACCCATTGCTTGTGTACCCGGTACAGAGTGGGCGATCGCACATGAAATTCAAACAGCCGATGCTACAAAATGCAAAATGGCCAAGAAACATAATATAAAGAGCAAGCTCCAATGCACTATATGCACTCGTTGCTTGCTGGTGCCTAAAATACACATTTGGAAGAAGTAGCCTCGATGAAGTTCATCTGTAACCACAAGCACAGTGGTAAACATACAAAGAGCTCCTCTATAGTCACTGAGGCTACGCTGCAAAGTGCACAGCACCATATGAATTTGGCTGCTTCCTGCATGTGCCTAAAATACATGAATGGGGTAAGCAACTCTAGAGAATTTAACTCTTTATCCAGCCATAGTGCTTTATACATCTAAGGTACAAACGAAAGCTTCTCTTTTGGTTTTTAGCTTCTTCTTCTTCTTCTTCTTCTTTTTTTATGATTCAGCATAATTATTTCTCCTTTTGTGGGTTTAATTTAGAATGGAAAAAAATAGATAAACAGTTCACCATACGTAACAGCAAAGGTGTCGGGGACTTTTGATGATGATACGAGCTTCCTACGCCTCCTACATGAGGTATTTCAGGCATGTCCAGCTAAGAGAAGACCACTGGCCAGCCAGGACGCTCTGAATAGGTTATGTCTCCCTGGCTAGCCTACAAACACCTCAGATTCTCTCCAGAAAAGCTAGGGCAGGTGACTGATGAGAGGCATGTAAGGGCATCTGTGATCAGACTTCTCTGGAAAATAGATGAAGAAGGAAGAATTATCATGCTTAAATAATATTTCCTCAGCCCCTTACCTGATTGCTCTTTGAGGATCCTCTGAGCGATCCGGTCGATGGTTCCCAGTTTCTGGTTAAAGGTGTCCAGGTATTCTCCCATGGCACAGAACTCAGGAGGTCGCACTCGCAGCTTGTAGCCTCCAGCCACGTTCTTCACAGACTCACCCACTTTGGATAGCAGGGCCAGACCCTGACGTTTGTTGAGGTCCTGCGAGCAACAGCATGATATTGATATAAATAGGCAGCCACATAAGTTTAAAAAGGTTAGACAGTAAAGAAAATATGATGGTAATCGTGTCTCCTCTCCTCTTCTCAGTGGAGATCGAGTATTGGTGGCGATTAAGACCATTTGAAGGTCTTTCGTCTTAAAGAGAGCAATAAAAACTTTGCTTAAAGACATTTTAAGCAAGGAAATAAGAGGTCTATATTTTGTGGTTTTATATTTTTCTGAAAGCTTACAGCTGAGGTTAAGCTTTTTGAATTTTCATTTATCACGCGACAGCACTCATGATTTTCCTTTCTTTTTGACCTATATTCATATATTAGTGGGACTGCTTTTCTTCATGGGTTACCGCCGTCTCACCTTGGCAGACAGGAAAGCATTTAGATGAGGGTTGAAGGAGAGGACGGGGTGGTCTGCAACTCGTTTCAGGAACTTGTCCAGGGCCTTCATCCTCGTCTCCACAAACTCCTCGGAAAAACGATCGACCACGCCCTTCATCACAAACTTCTCTGGCAACGGCTGGAGATGGGAGGACGACGGCAAAGCGGGGACAAGACGGAAGTGCAAAAGAGAGCGTGAGAGGTTTCTAATTGGCAAGTGGCACAGCTGGTTGCAACAAAGCTCGTGTAACCTACTGGGATGAGGTGGGTCGGCTGGCTGTCCTCCAGCTTGGTCCTCAGCCAGTCAAAGTCCTGATAGCGCCGCCGAACAGAGTACTCCGGCAGGTCAAACTCTATCCGTGTTGTCTGAGGAAGAACACACACAAACATTTCTAAATTAAATTCTTCATATAAAAAAAGGAAGAAAGAGCTAGAAAAATCCAGCATGTGACAAGGTGGTAAAGTCAAACAGGTCCATGAACGCAGCCTTTTGTTGCCGAGTAAACTTTACACCGTTTGAGAGTTATTTTGTAACAGTTTAACTTAACTTAGAAAGAAAGAAATGGGAAAATCATTTAGTATTCACACTAGGCAGTGCGTGTGTACACACACAAAAATGCACTTCCTGTCTCTCTGAACATCAAGGGTCAAAGGTTGCTTGGACATGTCTCCCCACTGAATCGGTTTATGTCATTAAGCGCTGAAGAAGAAAAAAAACAAAAAAAACCAGAGGATCCACCTGCTAAACACAAGTTACAGAATTTCCCTTGCGGAATATCATTTTCCAGGAAAGGTTCATGTATCTGAGACGACCCGTTTTATCAGGATACAAGCAAATTCAGGTCTAACCGGTTCATTCCATCGCAAATAAATTATTTAAACATTTTCTGCGTAACCACCTCTGATTTAATTGAAACCTTTATGGTTTTAAAATGTGGACATACATACATTGTGAAAATTTAGCTTCATATATCAAATATTTTTCTAGATTTTTATTTTCACTTTCGGGCTTACCCTCCTCCTCATGAAACCCGCAAAATAAATTGCACCAGGCAATCTGTCACATAATTGTCCCTTTGTTTCACTGTGGGTTCAGAATTTGGTGTCCATGCCTTTCTAACAATGGACAATGCAATAACAACAGCTTTAAAAACAAAAGACTCATATACATATAAAAGTGTAGATTTAACACATTTAGCACATGGTTTCTGCTCCAGCATCCATTTCTCTCTTTGTCTGGAGGTGGCAACCTTCTCTTGCCTGCTGCTGCTCCTGTGACAAAAGGTGGCAACTATAACTAATGTACATTTCTACATCACAGTATTTTTGAGATAAAACATCAGTGTGTCTGTGGCTTTAAACTGGAGGTTAACAACAGCAATCTCTTAAAACATCTCTTAAAACAGCAGAAATTAAGAGATGTGAAAACTAAATTTAGAAAAAAAGGGGGCTCAGTGAATAAAACGACAAAATACACCCACTGCAATATATAAGAGTCTATGAGCTGTCACCATGTAACCTTTCACAGCTTCATCAAGAAAAGCCTGTTTCCTATCTACACATCTTAAGTTGTTAAAGTGCTCTGTGGACAAAGCCCATACAAATGTGTCAAGTGTATTTTCCTCTGTTTACATCCTTGTTAGGTAGCTTCCCTACCTGTGCTGCTGCACTGCTACACAATCATAAAAACAATGCACTGCAAGTCAAAAACACCACAGAGTATCTTTAACTTTTTCTAATTAAATATTCATTTTAACACTACAACACGGGATTTTTCAGAACCTCCAGCAGCTGCATTAAAGCGCTGCGCCATCATTAAATGCAGGTGGAAGAAAAAAAATTACAAGAAAACACTAAATAAAAGTTTAATTAAGCAATTATTTTCTATAAAATAAAACAGAGTTTGTTCATATTATCATGACACCAGCCTGTAGCAGACCTTGGTGGAGACTCTGTAAGTGATGTAGGTCTCCATGGTGGAGACGTGTTTCTTTGGGTCGTCAACAGTGACGAAAAGGTCGTGGGTTTCTGTGTCGGCGTAGGGGTCCCGGGCATCTGAGTCCAAGTCATCGTCCAGCTGCAGCCTGTTGAACAGCACGGACGCAGAAGCCGGACTCGGCGTCTCAACCGGCGTGCCGTTGGTCAGCCCCACTTCCTGCATGTGAACAGATAACCACAACATCATGACACGAAAATACAGATGCTGCACTCTGCAAAGAAAAAGTAAAACACAGATCCCGATGCTGCCACTGCAGTTTTTTTCCCTCTCTGTCAATGGCGCTCTTGTTAGGCCCGTGCAAACATCCTACATCTCCTACACCGTCTTAACTGAATGATGGATAATGGGAGGGAAACAAACAGCTCTGGCATGAAATACTTAGAATTTTTTTTATCTTATCTTCAAGTAAATATATAAAAGTCACTACTTTCCAAGGGCCTTACTTAAGAAATAATAGTTTAGAAGACTAACTAATAGGTGCTGCTAACAGTAGAGGTGCAGTCTCAGGAGTGCACTGGGCCGATATCACGCATTGTATGTTGGGAGAAAATTGATCATGAATTATTAAAACTGTACTGGCATGGAATTGAAGTTGAGAAGATTTTAATGCTGTTCTATTATCTTTTTGTTGGGCACTTTTGGATGCATATTGCAGAAAAACACATGTATTCTTTTATTTTTATTTATTAGTCCTTTATTTATCCAGGTAAAAAAATCTCATTTTCAAGAGAGACCTGGCATCTTGGCAACAAAAGTCAAAATACATGTACCACATAAGTATATAACACTTAAAACAAATACAATATCCCATACGAACATGTGAAAAATATACAATAACAGATCAAATTAAGAGCGACATTAAAAACAATCACATTGAGTAAAAGAGTTATTCTCTCGTTCCTTTCAGATGGACTTAAACTCCCCCAAGGTAACTAATTCTGATCATTTCAGTTCCTTCTCCAGATTCAGATCCAGGAAGCAGGGGCAGCGTGTTTAAAAGCCTTTTCCCCCAATTCTGTTCTGATTCTTGTCTAGAAACATGTAAATAAGGGGTGAAAATATCAGTGGTGCAACCAAAAACTGCACAAAGGATCATTTTTGTTAGCAGGAAACAACATAACACAAACAGTTTTATTATGGACCGCTGGAATGAGGACTCGTAATGTAACATTTGATTTTCTGTGAACTTCTGGTGACAAATCTCAGCGGCTGTCCGAGTCTTCTATGGCATCACATGAGAAAAGTAACTACTTTCGTTGTGTGAGAGGCTCATGTTCAACCACAATTACCTTTTCTTTAAAAAGAAAAAGAAAAAAAAAGAAAAAGAGGGTCTATGGATAAATTTCTACTTCAATCGCTGTCAAAAGAAGTGCTTTCCCTCAGCTTGTCCACTGTTTCTTCACACTGCTTTCACTCATTGCTGTGCACACAGGAAACACACACACGGGCGCTGACGCTGTAAATTCTCTCTTTTTTAAACACTTTGGTGCTAACCTGCTTTGGTAATCACAGTTGGGATAATTGCATTGAGCTGATGTTAATAAGCAACAGGAGAGTCCAGTACGCACTGACAGTGAGGAGGAGAATAAGAAAACCGTATGTGTCTAACAGACACGGCAGAGCTGACAGATGTTTGTGACAACCAGTCCCGGCATTGTGGCCAATCAGCAGATATTTAGAGCACAGGTGTTACTAAATACATCAAGTGCCACGACAGCATGTCAGTGAGTCACCAAGCACCAAATGGAATTTAACCCTCACCATCATCAATGTAATATTTCCACCTGAGCTTTTTTTTGTTATCACTAAATAACACCAGCTGCTCCTTAAGGACATGTTTGCATATTTTAAACACTTATGGTCACGCCTAAAATATGAACTTGCCAACTTAAAAAAAATGTTTATGTTAACACAAACTACCTGTGCCTGTTTTTGCAGGTTAAAGCTGCAGCAAGTAGGACCTATGCTGCTGTGATCAGTTGTTTTGCTGTCCCAATGTCTGCAATTGTGCCACTTGTGAACTTGCTAAATTTGCTCATGCAATGGCTTTTTCCAACCGCTTTCCTACTATCTCTCAGACCTCAAAGTGACACAATGTAAATCCTTGCTTTGTCCTATCAACAGCCCAGACCTTGAAATAATCAAATGAACATCAAAATCAGTAATAAAGAAAATGTGCACTTCAATTTTTATGTGACTGATCCAATCTAGCACCACTTTCATACCCCTCCCTACAGACCAACATGGGCACACGCCTATTAGATAAATCTGTTGCATCGGTACACACACCGACAGATGCAATTGGGAGCTTTAATCATAAAAGAAAGCCTCCATCTGTCATTATCTTTTTATACATATGATGTGTTATTGCACACCTGCCCACCCTCAAATTTTTTTGCCGTGGATGTTTGTGTACTTTTCAAGATTGGGCGTCCATCTCCCCCACGGACTTTGGGATCGAACCTTTGACTCATCACATTTGCGGATGTCCACTCTACCTCTCCAGCCACAGTTGCCTAAATCTAATAAATGGCTGAGTGAATTCTACTTCCTTTGCACTTTTTTGCTCTTTGTACTGTTCACCTGATCTGGTCTGAAACAGCCTGTGATTGTCCAAAGTCTTCCATCATTGACCAGAGTTTATGAAGCTTGAAAACAGACAGCAAGGGAGGTGCAGGAGTCCAGTTCCCTTTTGATTAGTTCCCACTCAGACCACTTGAGCTGCAGTATGCTTAAAGAGTTATTGTGGTGTTTGTTTCCTACAGCTTCTTTAAGGAACTAAAAGCACCATTAGGCATACAATTTCGGTGTTTAACATTATACACCAGATCCTAAGAAAAATAAGATCTCTTATCTAAATAGAATTATACTAGACCTGCTCTGGAGCCTGTGGCATTTCCACAGAATTTTGTTAAAATGACTGGACAAATGGTTTGACAGGAACCAGACCCATTTGGCCTGGGTAATCATGTACAAGGAAAAGCCACAACCATAATGATGCCAAGAAGCTTCATACTGGCAGTATTACAGCATCTCCTGTAGGCAATAATTAACCGCAGTATCAAAGTGGTTGCTACAGTTGTTACTACAGTAAACACAGCAGCAGCAGCAGAAGGAGGGAGAATAAAAGCCATGTGATATGCTTGGATGGCCCATCTTTGTTTACTCAGCTCACCGGGGTTGAGATGGATGCCATGCCCACGTACACACATAATCCATCTTAAATAGTGAAAACACAACACTCGCGGTTTCACTTGCGAGTTTGTGTCGATTAATTTGGGCAAGATATCCAAACTAGGTGAATTTGCTGTTTCAGCACTGATTTAGTGGCAGACTCAGAGGATTCAGCCATGTGCTCTAAAACCTCAAATGCAAACAGAAATGAGTGTTTTCCACAGTTTCCTCTTTAAACTTGCATCGGTTTTCTCCTACTTATTAACAGGGGGGATGATAAACACTGGCGTCAGCCGTAAAACAGTTTAATCAAAGAGGGGTTTTGTTTGGGTAAGCGTCCTCTTTCCATCCCCCACCGTCGGTGAAGCCCCATCAGATCCTACCTTATCCCTTCCACCGCTGACAGTGACATCTGGCCCGGGGGAGAGCGGCTCCTCGGCGGCGGACAGCGGGTGGAGAATCTCCGTGATGGGCTTTTGCCCCGAGCTGGCCAGGCCTCTCGGAGCGCTGATACTCATTGCGTGGAAGGCGGGAAGACGTGGCCGGGTATCTGAGGAGGTAACGGCTGTCCGTTTCTCCGCGGCCGTTACGGTTCTGGAGACAAAAAAGAGGCTTTCCCCTCCCCTCCTCCGTTCAGGGTCTCTTCAGCTGAGATGTTTCACTGGTTGCTTGACCACAACTGTCAGCTGACTCCTACTGCGCAGTTCCGGAAGTTAAACGAGAAGAACCTGGATGTAAACATGTCAGTCACGTGACAAATGACGAGCGACTCGCTGAAGATCGTCTACTAAGAAGATGTACGAACAGATTTGCAAGCAGATTTATATTTTACAGAAATACATCAAGAAACAAAACAGGTTATAGTTTACAAATGGCCCAGGAAAAAAAACACAAGAAGCTAAGTCAAAATTTAAAATTATTATATCAAAATTGCAGGTTATTGTCCTCAGATTTCAGGTTATCTCAATTATATGCCTCAGAGTTTTGAGTTATTATATCAGAATTCCCACTATGTCTGAAAATTTCAAGTAATGTATCTCAAAATGTCTTGTTACTATCCCAAATTCTTATTTAAATATAAAGAAATCAATTAGTTGATTTTTTATTTATTTATTTATATATATATATATATATTAAAAAACAAAAACGAAACAAATATCTAGATTTTTATCACTGTTTATCTTAATGATTTTATTTTTGTCTTTTATTTATTTAAATTTCTCTATCTTACTTTTATACATGTTGTTGTTTTTGTAAATTGTAAATAAAGACCAAGGTTTTTTGGTTGCTTTTTTTAGATTTCCTGAATAAAGGCAGAGTGGGTCCTCTTTCCTTTACAGTCTTTTGTAATTGTGAAACCGGTACACGCGTTTAAGAAACAAAAATGTGGTGAAGCACAGGCACACAGTCGAGAGTTTTATCGTCTGTTACAAAGACACTTGCTGAGGTGTCCATCACCAAGTCCTCCTGTATGGTCTATTCTCTCTAACTAACTTTCATTAATCACCGTTGAGGACTTTTACCGAAGACCAATTTCCAGTAGCGTCGAAACAATCGCAGCGGGAAGGAAACACCAGTTTGGTTTTTTTTTGGTGTCCGCTGTTGACCTCTCTGACTCTCTGAGATGACTACTAATCCTCCAGGACAAGGTAATTCATTTGTTTTGGGTCATTAAAGTTCTTGAGAATCGGCTGCTGAATACAGGGGCGTAGCTACCAGCTCTGGATACCCTGAAACAGCCCCCTCCATGAGGGAGGAATAGGGCAAGAACCTCCACGAATGGGAACCGGATTTATCAGTTAACTTAGACCAAAACTTCTGGTCTCAGATATGCTTAAAAACCTTTCATTTAATTAGAAATCCCAGTCTTCAATTAATTTAATACAAAATACTACATAGAGTGCACTATACAGGTCATCGGATGTTCAAGATGGGCTTTACGTCTACCAACAACTGCTCACACTGTCAAACCAATACACCGGACAATTATATCCACGCTCTTTGGTTCTGTCCACCAGTTCAAAAGTTTTGGTGCGAGATATGTGAAGATCAAAGTGTCTGAAATGTAACATTCCAACTTCCCCTTTAGTGTTTGTTGGGCAGCTTAGATTATGTCACTACAGAAAAGAATATAGCCCATATGGTTTTCACTGCCCTATGCATA